CACTTGCCTAGCATGCGTGAGGCACTGGGTTCAATCCTCAGGACCACATAAAAATAAACAAACAAAATAAAGGCATTAAAAATAATTAAAAAATAAAAATTCAATGATAAAATCAGCAAAGGATCTGAGTTGACATTTTTCCAAATAAGATACTTAAATGACTAATAAGTATTTGAAAAAATGCACAACATCATTATTTATTTGGGAACTACAAATCAAACCACAATAATGCTATTTCCTACTTTTTAGGATAGCAAGAGTTAGAAAGAAAAATAACAAGAGGATGTGTAGAAATTGGATCCCTCATATACTGTGGATAGAAATATAAAATACTTCAGTCGATTTGGAAAACAGTTTTGATGATAACTCAAAAGTTATGCATAGCCACTATATGACCTAGCAATTCTAATTTTCAGAATATTTTAATCTTCAATTTCAAGAGAATTGAAAATATATGTCCACACAAAAACTTACACATGAATGTACATAGCAGTATTATTAATAATAACCAAGAATAGACATAAACCCAAATAAATGTCTATCACTGAAGAATGGACAAAATGTAGCACGTTCATACAATGAAATATTATTCAACCACAAAAAGGAAAGAAGTACTGATACATACTAATTCATAGATGAACCTTGAAAACATTATGCTAAGCAAAGGAATCTAGACACAAATAGTTACATATTGTGTGATTCCATTTATATGAAATGTCCAGAACACCAAAGAGATAGAAAATTGATTAATGGTTCCTAGAGGTTAGAGGAAGGAGGTTATGAAAGTGGTTGCTAATGGGTACTGGATTTTGGGGGTAACAAGTGAAAATGTTCTGGAATTAGTGGTAATAACTGTACAACATTTTGCATATACTAAAAATCCAATGGATTCTATTTTTAAGGGTTATTGTTATGGTATATGAATTATAGCTCACCAAAGAATTTAAAAACAGAAGGCTTCTGTCAAAATTAAAATTCATTGAACAAAAAATAGCTTTTGAAAGTAAAACTGATATCAAAAGTTTAAAATTCAGTCAGAAGCATGCAAAAATAAGTGAGAATATTTGCTAGAATCCAGGAAAATAAATACGAAGGATAATAACAACTATAAGAAAAAGTGAATATTAAACAACTTACTGTTAAATCAACAGATCAAGGACGAAATCAAGAAGGAAATTTAAAAAATATTTCAAACCAATGAAAATAGAGACACAACATACCAAAGCCTATGGGGTACTGCAATAGCCATACTTAGAGGGAAGTTCATAGCAATAGTGCCTATGTGAAAAAAAGCAGAACAATCTTATATAAACAACCTGTTGCTGCCTTTTAAGGAATTAGAAAAACACAAACCCAACCCAATATTAGTATAAGCAAAGAAATATTAAAGATCAAAGGGTAATTCAGCTGGGTGGAGTGATGCACACCTGTAATCCCAGCTACTTGGGAGGCTGAGGCAGGAGGATGTAAGTTTGAGGCCAGGCTTGAAAACAATCCCTGTCTCAAAATGTTAAAAAAGGACTGGATTTGCTCTACAGCAGTAGAGCAAACATGGGTTTTATCCCTAGTATCACAAAAAATAATAAAATAAAATAAATAAAAGATCCAAGGAGAAATAGAGACTAAAAAAACCAATGCCAAATATCAATGAAATAAAAAGCTGGTTCTTCAAAAATATAAATAAAACTGACAAACCTTACCTAGATTAAGAAAAATAGATGACTCAAGTAAAATCAGAGATTAAAAAGGAAACATTACAACTGATGCCATGGAAATAAATACAAAGGTTCATTAGAGAGTATTATGATCAGTTATAGGCTAATAAATTTGATCATCTAGAAGAAATGCAAAAATTCCTGGACATAAAAACCTTACCCAGATTGAATCATGAAAAAATAGTGAAAATCCAAAGAGTCTTATAACAACTAATAAGATTGAATCAGTAATAAAAAGTCTCCCATCAAAGAAAAGCCCAGAACTAGACATCTTCACTACTGAATTCCACCAAACATTAAAAGAATACATAACACCAAATTTCTTAAATTATCACAAAAAAATGGAAGAGAAAGGAATTCTTCCCAACATGTACTCTGATACCAAAACTGGACAAGGACACAGCAAAAATAAGAAACTAGGGCTGGAGATATAGTTCAGTTAGTAGAATGCTTGCCTCGAATGCACAAGGTCTTGGGTTAGATCCCTAGCACCATATATACACAAAAAGTAGGAAACTGCAAGGCAATATCCTTAATGAACAAAATACTGGCAGACTGGATCTAGCCAAATACTGCCAAACTGGATCTAATAGCACATTTAAAAGATTATTCACTGACTGGGGGTGTGGCTTAGTGAGAGAGCACTTGTATAGCATGCATTTGGCCCTGGGTTCATCCCTACCATCACCCCTCCACACATCCACACACATACACACAAAGATTATTCACCACATCAAATGAAACAAGGATAGTTCAACATAAATTGTTATTTTTTTAAACAAAGGGGAAAAGAAAGAAGAAACATTAAATATCAACCCAGGAGCTCACTATAAATTAAAAGGAGTTATAGAAAACAAAGAACATTGAGTGGAAGAAATTATTTTTTAAATGACAAAACAAACCCACAAAATTCTTAAACATGTCCTAGTTTGAAGAGTACATCTCAAGATTGACAGGTCTCACTGAGTACCTAGCACAATGAGTGACAAAAATTTTTTCCACTATAACACAATAATGAAATTCTAGAATGCTGGTGCTATATATAAGAAGGTAAATTCATATAAAGTTTCTCAGCCTCAACACTACTGGCATTTGAGGTCAGTTAATTCTTTGTGGGAAGCTGACCCATGGATTGTGGAATATTTAACAGCATATCTACCGAGGAGAAGAATGTCCTACAGTTGTGAATATCAAAATGTTTCCAGACATTGCCAAATGTCTCTGGGTGGTAAAATTGCTCTGGTTGAGATCCAGAGACCTAGAGGGAAAACAGTGGTTCTCAGAAAAACATGGATGGTCAGAATGTTAATGCATATTCGACACTGGAGATTAAAAGACAGAGGAAGAATGCCTTCAAAGTACTAGCAGCAAATAATTCCACCTATAACTTTGCACACAATAAAATCTTCACACTGAATCTTTTGACATCTAGAATTTTAAGATATTCAATCTCTCAATACATTAATAGCAAATATTCTTTAGGAACTCCAAAGAAAATAATAAGAGAGAAGTAGAAAATCCAGAAAATGAAATCAAATGCAAAAGGAAGATAAGATTCCCATTATGAGGGTAATACAAACTACTTGCTATGCAATAGGTCTAGAGAGCAAATAGTATACTGTTGAACAGGAGTTTGTTTTGCTCTAGAGTGGCTTGAAGAGAAAAGAATGAAACTAATAGATATCTTTTTGAGACTAAATATCAAATTGTGAGCTTTAGATTTTAGAAAGCATGGGAATACCTTAAAACTATGTAGATAGAAAAGTAAATAAGATGAAAAAGGAGGCAACTATTAATTTAAGGCTAAACAAAGTGGCTTTTCTTTTTTCCTCTTGAGGCTCAGATGTAATCAATATTTGCACAGTATTAATCATTTAAACACAATATAAGCAATTATATTTCTAATTTGGAGGATGGAGTAGAGAAAATGTAAAAGTATATGTGTATGTGTGAATGTTTGTGTGTGCTGTTTAAGAAAGGAAGTAAAGGATATCTAAAACTGAAAATGGAAAAAAGCAGTTAATAAACATATTATTTAGAAATACAGAAGTAGTGGCTGGAGAGGTAGTTCAGTTGTAGAGCACTCATCCAGAATATGTGAGCCCTGGGTTTCTATCCCCAGCATTGCAAAAATTTAAAGCCAACAACAAAATAAACCATGTATTATTAAAAAAAAGTAAATAGGGAAGAACAGATACAAATATCAAAAGTGATTACCTCTGGGCAGTCAAATGAAATTTAAAAATGTATCATTATATGAAATTCAATTAAAAATATAAAATGGCTGATTATAGAAGTTATCTTTTCAAATATATTGTAAATGTTACAAATATTGATAAGGTAATATATAGGTATATATCACACAAAGTATAAGCCTGATGAGGAGAGAGGAGATTTAAAAGTGTTTATTTGCTCATTTTTGCTTTATTATTATGTACTTGTTTTTGCAGTGCTGGAGATCAAACTCAAGGTCTCACATATGCTAAGTAAGTACTCTATCACTAAGCTACATACCCAGCACTATTTTCTCATTTTTAAACAAAACAGTTAAATGATGCTAATTTCTTAGTATGCACCACAGCAGCAATTTTTGGGCAGAGCTGGGGATTGAATAACCCCTGAATAACCACTGAGATACATTTGCTGTTCTTCATATGCATCATAATCTTGTTTTCAAATCTCATAGATATTATTTGTCTAAGCCTAAGAAAGTTTTATAATTTCTCATTTTATTACATTTTATCTAATAATTTTAATTAGAAACTATCAGTTTATTATCAGTTTTATAAATTATCTCCACCCAACAATTCACTCTTATATATATTTAGAGGTATATTTTATTTATACTCTTTTTATATGGTCTTGGGTATGGAACTCAGCTTCTTGACTGCTCATTGTGTGAGCTACCACTGAGCTACACTCTCAGTCCAAATAGAATATTTTAGAATAATGTTACTTAAATTACTTCTGGATAGCGGAATTATTATGTTAATCTTATTTTTGTACTTATTGTATATGTTTGAATGATGTGAGTAAATATAATTTGAAAAATAAGAATCATTCAGTACCAAACCCATTTATAATGAAAAAGTAGTCACAAGTCTACCACTGTTTTAAAATTTTTCACGTAATAGATATTAAATCCCATAAAATAATAGATCACCTAACTGAATGATATCAATTTTGAAAGAAACTACTCAACTTAAGTAAACACCATCCAGATTAAAATATTGGTTTCTTTGAGAAAGACAATTATGTTTTTGAAACAAAACAACAGAAACACAATTTATAAAGTCACTTAAATTTATTGCATAAATGAAAACTATTTTTTTAAAAAACTAAGAGACATTAATTACAAATAATTCCTGTGGGTAATCAGTAAGTTTGGAGAATGATTATATTAATCATAAAAGGTACCAACGAATAAGTTGAAAATTAAACCTGAAAATATATGTGACTTACAAAAACAGGACCAAAAGAAAAAACACCACTTGATTTCTCTGCTATTGTGTCCACGTGCATTATGTGAGATACCTAAGAAATGGAAACAATGAAAAAATAGTACTACAGGTTGAAATTCTTATATATACAATAATTACTACCACACTTTAGTACTTTCTTTACGTGAATGAAAGGGTAAAGAATTTACAAGACTAGTGAATATAATAATTTATCTCATATTGTCAAAATCACATTCCTAATTGAACCCAAAATGATTCCTCAAGTTACGGTTTTCTTCGGTATTCTTATCAGCACCTTCACCCAGTAAGTTGGGGAGCATTGGTTTAAGAACTTGGAACTCACTAGTCTCAGAGCTTCCCGCCAGGTAAACTTCATATCGATAATTCTGAGACAGGGTCCCGGTGCCACTGACATCTACCAGGTGGCCAGATAACTGGCCCTCAGGCACAGAGCAGACACCCAAGGGCTCCGCCCTGCGCCTCCTGCACAGCTTCACCGCCACAAACACCAGCACAGAGAAGAGGAAGAGCGATGACACCGACGCCAAGGCGATGACCAAGTAGACAGTGAGCGAGTCCCCCTGCGCGCGCTCGGGCGCCACTTCCGGGAGCGGCAGGTAGGGCTGGGAGAAGCCATCCACCAGAAGCACGTGCAGCGTGACGCTGGCAGACAGCGGAGGCTCGCCATTGTCCTTGACCAGCACCACCAGTCTGTGCCTGGCCGCGTCGCGCTCGCTCAGCAGCCTGGCTGTGCGCACCTCGCCATTGTGCGCCCACACGCCAAACAGCCCTGGCTCCGTGGCCTTGAGCAGCTGGTATGACAGCCAGGCGTTCTGGCCTGAGTCTCTGTCTACCGCCACCACCTTGGTGACCAGGTAGCCCTGCTCTGCCGCCCTGGGTACCAGTTCGGTGCAGGGCGCAGAGGCGTTCTGCATTGGGTACAGCAGGAAGGGCGGGTTGTCATTTTCGTCCAGCACCACCACTCGCACCAGCGCCTGGCTGCTGAGCGCGGGCGAGCCTTGGTCTGTGGCGCCCACGCGGAACTCGAATGCCTGCAGGGCCTCGAAGTCCAGCGCCCTCAGCGCGAACAGCTGCCCATTGTCTGCGTTGATGGAAACCAGCGAGGCGAGGGGCAGGTGCGGGTCCTGTTTTGGCAGCAGTGAGTAAGTGATCTGGGCGTTGGTGCCTGAGTCTCTGTCTGTGGCACTGATGCTGCCTATGTGCAGGGCGAGTTGGTTGTTCTCATGCACCAACAGTGTGTATGACGTTTGGGAGAAGGCAGGGGCGTTGTCGTTGACGTCGGAGATGAGGACAGTTATGTTGTGCTCGGTTTTCAGCCTGGGTGTCCCGAAGTCGGTGACGGTGATGACGATGTTGTACTGGGCTCTGGTTTCTCTGTCCAGCGCTCCTTCTGTGACCAAAGTGTAGAAGTTTTCTACTGTGGGTTTCAGAATAAAGGGTAGATGGTCTTGAATGGAACACATCATTTTTCCGTTGTCTTTAGAGTCTGGATCTGAAATTCTGAAAATAGCAACTACAGTTTCTGGGGAATTTTCTGGGATATCATTGATAAGTAATGACATAGCCAGTTCAGGGGCGTTGTCATTTACATCCATCACTTCTATGTCGACAGTGCATTTTCCTGAAAGACCTCCACCATCTGAGGCCTCAATTTCTATGTGGTAAGAGTCAATTTCTTCAAAATCCAACAGTTTTTTTAATCTAATTTCTCCTGAGTCTTTATTTATTTCAAAGGCCTGAATGACTTGATTTGGTGATTGGAAAAATGAGTAGGTGAGCTCCCCATAGATCCCAGCATCTAAATCTCTAGCGGTGACGATTATGACAAGGGAACCTACAGGGCTGTTCTCTGGGACCTGCACCTGGTAGAGTCCTTGAGCAAATTCAGGGGCATTGTCATTGATGTCCAGAACCAGGATGAGAACCTGGCAAGTTCCAGTTCTGGGCGGAGACCCACCATCCAGAGCTGTGAGGGTTAACCTGAACTCGGGTTGCTCCTCTCGGTCCAGGGCTTTCTCCAGCACCAGCTCGGGATATTTCCTGCCGTCGCTGTGACTGCGAGTGAGAAGGTGAAAATGGGAGTTGCTGCTAATTATGTAGTTCTGAACTGTGTTGTTACCAACGTCCAAATCTTGAGCTATTTCCAAAGGAAACAGAGTCCCTGGTTGGCTGCTTTCCGCGATTTTAAGGAGGATTTCCTTTCCCAAGAATTCTGGGGCATGGTCATTTACATCTTGGAGGTGTAGTTCACCTTGAATAAACTGCACCGGGTTTTTCACTAACACCTGGAAATGCAGTATACATGGATCTGTGTCCCCGCACAACTCCTCTCGATCCAATTTTTCTTTTAGGAGCAAATTCCCACTCTTTTGTTCAAGCTCTAAGTGCTGTCTGTTCCCTTGGGAAAGAATCTGGGCTCTCCTCTTGGCTAGCTCCCCTATGCCCAGCCCTAGATCGTTTTCTAGGTTGGACACAAAAGAACCGCTGTCTCTTTCTTCTAGAATGGAATACTTAACGGTTACACTGCCCACCTCCCACAGTAGAAACAAGAAAATAAAGATGGTCACTTGCCTTTTCTGAGGCGCTTTGGAGAGCGGAGACTCCATTGTTCCTTCAGGTCCAAAAGATGCAGTATTTTAATACACAATAATTGATTTGTATCCAACTCCGCTATCTAGACTTAATAATGTCAAGTTAATCTTTTTTTAAAAAAAACACGATTGACATAGGGGGAGCTGCTTCTTTGAAATATTCTACCCCTAGAAATGTAACACGGTTCCTTTTTAAACTGCCGGAAACTGTTCAGTTTTCAAGGAGTCACTGACTGCAGTTTTTCACTCTCTTAGCCTGCAGCGCCACCAAGCGTTCTGCTTTACAAATTCAGATAATTTTTTATACATAGCAAGAGCTACCATAAATTGTAGGTCATAGTGTTTATACAATCCCCTTTCCTGAACCCATTTTGCAGTATTATTCAAGTAGCTAACAATAGTTATAAAAACAAAAGTAATATATAGTCCTAAGTAAGATAAAATCCAGTAAACAAACTCTGCTGAGGCAAATTCATTTAACAAATATTTACCTGTGCAGGCAATCTTTTAGCTTCTAAGGATCAACAGTAAATGAAACAATTTTTTTTGTCTTGTGGAGTTTATTTCTATTACAGATATTAATTTGTTCATTTAATTAGGCAAAATTATGATTTTTAAAATCTGATTTCTGTTCCTAAATTGCAAAGTAACTATAACTCATGAAAAAAATTAAAATGTGTTTTCTTCTCAGTCCTAGGCTTAAATAGGTTCTGGGCTTTTTTCCCCTCATAAACCCACTGGATGTAATGCCCAGTGAACTAAAGAGAAAATACCCACTCGTTTTACTTGAAACAGTGTAATCTCAGACTTCAGGCAACGTCTTTTCTACAAACTTGAAAAAGACAATAAAGACAAAAAAGTAAAAAAAATATACTTTCTGGGGGAAGTGTTTTGACCTTTTGCACTAGACAGGAGTCTATTCTGGATTACATTTTCTGGCCTATGGAGTCCTGGGAATTGAAAAACTACAAAATATACTCTACTGTCATGTATATCTAAGAAGAACAAATAAAAAAATTACAAAACACAATAAAACAAGAAAAAATTTAAAATAAAATTTAAAAAGAAAGAAAAAGAACAAAGTTCCAACTAATGCCATGTGGTTGGAGTGTGAATAGTGAAAGAGGAAAATCTTCTCAACAAAAAATAATTTTATTTGACAGAGGAAAGGATAAGTATCTGAAAATTTCAAATAATAAATGTTATCAACACTCTTCAAGCCAATTGGCAATAATCTATAAAAATTGGACTTATTTGGTTACAAAATACAGTGAGACCTACTTTCGTTTCAATTAAGTATAAAAATAAAAGTTCACTTGTCATTTAATGTGAATTGTCTGCCTTTTGTAGCAAGTTGAAATGAGAATTTTCATTAAAAAATCACAAACATAACTGATACAAGAAGAGAAAATGTTAGGTTAACCTGTGAATGTAAATGGTTTTGTGGCTAATAGAGATAAAAGATGCTTACACAGCAGTAGAAAGGAAAGTCTGATATTCCTTAATAATCAGTCTAACACAGTACTTAGTTCTTGGCTTAGTATCATATATAAAAGCTTGAAAACCAGAGAAATTTAAAAATATAATTTGGATTTTACAAAACAGTACTTTTGAACTTTGAAACTGTTAAACAAAAATAAGAACATAAGAAATATTTAATAACTTCACTCATTGGCAAGGGTAGTTTATTGTAAAGAAGATATTAACATTAATCAATTTTAAACCATCATTACTGAAATTTTAATAACATTAATCCAATATTTATTAATCATTTATAATTAGCTTAGTGTTAAGAAAAAAGACCATCATATTCTTATATGAGGTTTACAAATTGCAATTTTATGTGTTGACAGTTCAGCAAAGTCTATATCCAAAGAAAGTATTAATCATTATGGTGTACTAATATGCATATAAGTATGAATGGCTATTTTTACATTTATCTGTCTTAGCATTTAGAGTTATATACACACTGGTGGAGTTATCTCAAAATGAGACTGCCTTTGGGAGATTAAATACTTTCAAATACAATTTAAAAATAGTTCTCCAAAGTAGTAGAGAAATGACTGTAACCAATTCTTAGAAATAGAATTGTAAGGATTTTGGAATATAGTTTTTTGAAAGGATAGGTAATTTTAAATGTCTTAATTACTAAAAAATTACTTTTTATTTCAGTTGTCAAAAGTAGGTGAGAGTTGCTACATCATATACAACCAGATAAATGAAAAGTTGTATTGCAATTGTGTACAATCAAAATGCATTCTGATGTCATATATACCCAATTAAAATTAATTAATTAAAAAGTAGGTGAGAGTAATAAAAAAGATGAAGCACATGGATAATGGATAAAATATGGTACATCTCTGGTATCTGACTTTTATTGTAAAATTTCAGCATAATGAATAGTAATAAAAGAATTGGAGAATCAAAACATGAATCAATAACATGAATTTAAGTTAAAGAACATTTCCTGGAGCTGCTGCTGTACCCCACTGGCAGAGCACTTGCTTAGCATTGGTGAGGCACTGGGTTCCATCCTCAGCACCACATAAAAATAAACAAATAATAAAATAAAAGCATTATGTCTATCTACAACTACAAAAAAAAAGAACATTTCTAAACTTAATTAAGTAGGGTTTAGTATAGTAATACAATATTTCACAGAATAGGAGGCTATTCTGAAGGGTGGGACTTTCCTCAATTTCCCTCCAGTTCCCTAAGGAGGTAAGTTGGGGATAATAGGCTTCAAGAATTTGAACTCACCAGACCCAGAGTCTCCAGCCAGACACACCTCATACTGGTAGCTCTGGGACAGGGTCCCAGTGCCACTAAAGTCCACCAGGTGGCCAGGAAAGTGGCCCTCAGGCAAAGAGCAGATACCCAGCGGCGCCGCCCTGCGCCTCCTGCAAAGCCTCACCGCCACAAACACCAGCACAGAGAAGAGGAAAAGCGATGACACCGACGCCAAGGCGATGACCAAGTAGACAGTGAGCGAGTCCCCCTGCGCGCGCTCGGGCGCCACTTCCGGGAGCGGCAGGTAGGGCTGGGAGAAGCCATCCACCAGAAGCACGTGCAGCGTGACGCTGGCAGACAGCGGAGGCTCGCCATTGTCCTTGACCAGCACCACCAGCCTGTGCCTGGCCGCGTCGCGCTCGCTCAGCAGCCTGGCTGTGCGCACCTCGCCATTGTGCGCCCACACGCCAAACACTCCGGGCTCCGTGGCCTTGAGCAGCTGGTATGACAGCCAGGCGTTTTGGCCTGAGTCTCTGTCCACTGCCACCACCTTGGTGACCAGGTAGCCCTGCTCTGCCGCCCTGGGAACCAGTTCGGTGCAGGGCGCAGAGGCGTTCTGCATTGGATACAGCACGAAGGGCGAGTTGTCATTGTCGTCCAGCACCACCACTCGCACCAGCGCCTGGCTGCTGAGCGCGGGTGAGCCTTGGTCTGTGGCGCCCACGCGGAACTCGAATGCCTGCAGGGCCTCGAAGTCCAGCGCCGTCAGCGCGAACAGCTGCCCATTGTCTGCGTTGATGGAAACCAGCGAGGCCAGGGGCAGGTGCGGGTCCTGGGTTGGCAGCAGTGAGTAAGTGATCTGGGCGTTGGTGCCTGAGTCTCTGTCTGTGGCGCTGACACTGCCTATGTTCAGGGCGGGTTGGTTGTTCTCACGCACCAATAGTGTGTAGGATGTTTGCGTGAAGGCAGGGGCGTTGTCGTTGACGTCAGAGACGTGGATGGTTATGCTGTGCTCGGTTTTCAACCTGGGTGTCCCCAAGTCTGTGACCGTGATGGTGATGTTGTACTCGGCTTTGGTCTCTCTGTCCAGAGCTCCATCTGTTACCAGAGCATAGAAATTTTCCACTGAAGGTCTTAGAAGAAAGGGGAGATTGTCGTCTATGGAACAAATAACTTCTTGGTTAGGTCCAGAATCTGCATCAGAAACACTGAAAACTGCCACTATTATTCCTGGCAAGTTTTCAGCTATAGGGCTGTTAAGTGAGGACACAGTCAATTCAGGAGCATTGTCATTCACGTCCAGGACCTGAACGATTAAAGAGCATTTTCCTGTTAGGCCCCCACCATCTGTGGCCTCAATATCCACATGATAAGACTGAAATTCTTCAAAATCCAAAGTTTTTCTCAGTCGAATCTCTCCACTTATTGCATTTATTTCGAAGGGTTGGTTAATGTCATCATCTTGAAATAAGGTGTAAGATACCTCCCCAAATGATCCCGCATCTAAATCCCTGGCTGAAACGGTAATTACCAGCGAGCCAGGGTGTTTGTTCTCAGAGATGTGCGCCTCATAGAGGTCCTGAGTAAACTCAGGGACATTGTCATTGATGTCCAAAACCAGGATTTGAATGTCTGAAGTTCCCGATAGGGGCGGAGACCCACCATCCAGGGCGGTCAGGGTTAGTCTGAATTGGGACTGCTCCTCGCGATCCAATGCTTTGTCAAGCACTAGCTCTGGGAATTTCCTGCCGTCGCTGCGATTGCTGGTAAGAACGTGGAAGTGAGGGTTGGAGCTGATGGAGTAGCTTTGAAGGCTGTTGCTGCCAACGTCTAAATCCTGCGCCATTTTCAAAGGAAATATCTTTCCTGGCATAGTAATTTCTGATATTTTCAGTAGCATTTTTCTGGCTGGAAACTCTGGAGCATGGTCATTTATATCTCTGACTCGCAAGGTAGCCTGAAAAAACTGCAAGGGGTTTTCCAGTAACACCTGAAAAGGTAGCACACAGGGCTCAGTGGAGCCACAGAGTTCCTCCCGGTCCAGTTTTTCATTTAGCAGCAAATCATGGGTTTGTGGGTCAAGCTGCAAATGTTGTCTGCCTCCTTTGAAAACAACACGGGCGCTCCGATCTGCCAGCTCTCCCACCTTAAATCCCAGGTCCTTTGTCAAGTTAGCCACAAACGTGCCACTTTCTGTCTCCTCCATTATGGAATACTGAACCGATTCTGAACCCACCTCCCACAAAAGCATCAGTATAATAAAGGTAGCCACTTGCCTTTTCTTGTGCTGTATTTTTGTTTTCACCATCTCCATTGTTATGTCTGGTTCCAGTTCCGGAGGGGGAAATCCTTTTCAGCTCCCAATTCCAGATCGACCACAGACCCTTTGAAATGTCTTTGTTGTATATAGATTTTTAATTCCTCCTTATAGCTTATCCAGCTACGACTCCCTTACCGATTACATCTATCTTAGCTCTAGCTGTAATTGTGTTCTGTATTTTCTTTCTTTGGTTTCTGGGTGAAGTGGGAGTCCACCAAATCTTTGGAGCTTTTATTCATTCTCTTAGCCTGCACCGCCACCACGCGGTCAAGTTATTAACTTCATGAGGTATTTTCAAGTTAACAATGCTTCTGAAATCTGAGCTTAGTTTGAATCAGTGTTACTCAAATGGAGTGTGTGAAGCACAGGCATAAGGAGTTGTTTGGAAGGCTTGTTTGTGTGCGTGTTTTAAAATTTTTGTTTTTAAAGTCAATTCCTTGGCTCCCTCCAGATATTTCAATCAAACTGTCTGGTGCTAAGGGCAATCTACACTTCAATCTTTTCCCCTATGTGATTCTCATTAAGTGATTCTTATGCATATTAATGTTTAAGAATCACTCTCTTAGGTAACAAACTCCTATAATCAACTTTGATTCTTTAGAAGTACAATTTATCTTTGATAAGCAGTGTAAAAAAAAAATTTTTTTTTTTGGCAATGTTGAGGATTGAGCCTAGGGCTTTGTGCATGCTGGACAAGGGCTATACCACTGAACCACATGCCCAGTCCATAAAGTATATTATTTACCTGTCCCAACAAACTCATCAACAAACTATCCAAATTGTAAAAGATGTTTAACACACTAATTGTAAAACTGACAATGATTTTTCTAAATTATATGACTCAAACGGCATGAACAACCTACTTACTTTGTAATGTGGTGATGTGTGCACAGTAAAGAAAACAATTAGGCTGTTAGAAGAAAAGTTGAAACCAAGAGTTACTTATGACAGAAGCATCAACGTAAGTTAAATGTTTCAGAAAAGGAATTAGGAACAATCAATTATATTTGTCAGAAGCTTCTTAGTGTTAATCTTCATTTTGTATTAATAGAATTGGTCATAGTTTGAAGAGTCTTGTGTGTTTTGATCTAACATTTTCTCAAATTCTCCTCATATTGGTTACAATGATAAAAAGTCCTTTTCCTAAGAATATATCACAATGCAAAAGAAGACATTCAAGAACTACCTTTGTCATATTTTCTTATCCAGGTCCTATAAATATAGGTCAAATAAGTTGATGTGAAAAGGTGTCTTAACATTTGAGTGAAAACCATGGAATTCAATGACAGAACATTGTGACTATGCTCACTTTATCCCACCAGTTTCTGCTCGGATAAATTGAAAAATTATTCCATCTCCTCTCTTCTCTCCTCATTCCTCTCTCCCCTCCTCTTTCCTTTCCTCTCTTCTCTCTTCTGTCCTCTCTCTGATACTGGGGATTGAATCCAGGAGTTAACCTCTGAGCCACATCCCCAGACAGGGTTGCTTAGGATCTCACTAAGTGATTGGGACTGGCCTTGAACTTGTGATCCTCTTGCCTCAATCACCCTAGCTGCTGGGAGTATAGGCATGCACCACCACAACTGGCAACGTTTTTCTAAATATCCTGAAAGCATGGAAAAAGTGAAAATATAAGAACATGAAATATGCCAAGCATAATTTATTTATGGTGGATTTCATATTTATTTAGAGGTGAAATCCACTGAGGTCAAGAAAAATTTACTTCACAGAAGAGCCAAGATGATGCAAAACTAAAAATGAAGATATTTTCCAAATACTTCAATGCCAGGTAAAACAAATAAAACTAAATAAAATAGTCTGAAAAGCTAAGGTCATTTTATGGGTAAATCAGATATATAAAGCCATAAGGATATAGAATATCAATGTGACTCGCCTCCAGGACTCACTCACTAAATATTACTGAGAATGGATTATCCCTTGAGGATATGAACAAGAAAAAGGAATTGATGAGACAAAACCAACAATAATGACAATCTCAGATGGATTTAGTTTATTTTCTGAAACAAGGCAATTTATGGCTCACTTCGAAATGCATCCTTCTGAGTGGGGACTGAAGTTCTGATTCCAGCAATCTTGTCTTCCAAAGTCCTGTACTCACTCTGTATGATTGCAGCACATCAGGTATCCTCAATACTTCTTGTTGAATTATTTCTCATTTAAAAGCAACCTTCATCAGCAGTACAGTATGTGTTAAACTCAATTTATATCAGTGAAATATATTTGAGGACAATGATAATCATGGCAGAGAGAAAGAAGAAAGTATCTGAACATCCTCCCAAAAGATATCAGTTGGGTATGTCAAGAAGTTGCCTTTTTACAGAAAGTGGATTGATTACATTAGATATCTACAGGAGAATGTGTCTCTGATTTTATCCTTTTTGCTTTAATTTGATTTGCTTGAGTGACTTTGAATTGACTTGGCTTTCATAAACATGTTCTCACAAGGAATTATTTAAAATATTTTTATTATGGAAAATTTCCAACATATACAAAGCAAACGCATCTTTCAGTTTCACAACATTGTCTTGTCTTATCTGTAACTTTCTCTTCAGTTTCTACCTCCACTACACATTTACTTTTTGTATTGTCCTTTTCTGGAGGTAATGTTTACATAAATTGAAAGGTACCAAACTTAATGGTACCATTGTAACAAATGAATTGATCCATGTAATACACACCTTTTTCAAGATATAGAACATTTATGCTTTCATTGTGAATAATTTTAATCATATTCTCCAACTTCTTTTAATATCTCAATAGCAAGATCTCAATCTTTGCTTTAAGTGACATGGAATGGTAGACAATGTAAAAAAAATCACAATGCCCTATTCTCTTTATGCTCATGTGTGCAGAACTGAAATTAAAGATGTTCTAAAGGTTAATTTAGCTGGATTATTACCAATGTCCTGAAAAAGTTCTTTTATGAAAACTTGCAAAGTACACTATATTTAATTTCATTTAGTTAACTTATATCATTGCATACCTTATCAAGTTGATTTCCCTTTTGTGTTTCAAATATTTGTTTTCCTATAATTCCATTATATCTTTCAGAAATTCTTCATGTTTGCCAAATTGAAAGGTAAAGACTACCCTTCAAGGATGAAATGGACTTCTCATAATTCTCTGTAATTTCATTATATGAAAAGAAAAGCACAATAATTCAGGGGTAGGAAAAAGATGATATGTAAACAATCATGTAAGAAATATCCCAAATAATAGGAGGTACACTGAAGGAAAATTAGAAAACATGAAAAATTTGATGCTAAATTATATGTGAAATCTGATGTGGTGGAGTAAGAAGATTTTTGATCATTGTTGCTAGAGGTTTGTCAGTTTTATTGATTTTTTTTAAAGAACTAGTTCTTGGTTTCATATATTTTCTCTATTATTTTTGCTTTTAATTTCCTTGGCTTCTATCATCATCATAATTTTCTTCCTTTGGCATGCCTTCATTTTATTTTTCTCATCTTCTTTCTAGAGTCTTAAGATGGAAGTTGTAACTACCAAAGTGTTGAGTAATTGATTTAGACTTTCTATCTTTTTTAACATATTTACTTAGTGTGCTGTAAATTATCCTCTCCCAAATACTGATATGTTGTATTTTTGTTTTCCATTCCATTCAACGTTTGTTGTTATTGTACTGGGAATTAAACCCAGAGGCACTCTACTATTGAGCCACATCTCCAGCCCTTTTATTTGGAGATGGGTCTCACTAAATTGCTGAGACTGGCCTCAAACTTGCAATCCTCCTGCCTCAGACTCCTGAGTTGCTGGGATTATAGGCATGTATCACCTTGCTTGGCTAACACAATGTATTTTTATTTATTTAAAAAATTACTACAGGTATTTTATTTTGTTGTTCATTGGTTCTTTTAGTTATACAATAGAATTCATTTGATGTAATTATACAATCATGGAATATATCTTTTTCTAATTAGGACTCCATTCTTTAAATTTCACTTGAGACATCCTCTTTGATTCTTAGATTATTTACAAGTGCCTTGTTAAGTTTCCAAGTGTTTGAAGATTTTCCTTTTATTTTATTTTTAATTGGATTCCATTATGGTTAGAGAACCCACTCTGTCTAATTTCATTTTTAAAGTGGTTGAGGTTTGTTTGAAATGGGCCAGGATGTGGTCTACATTGTGTATGTTCTGTGAGTGTTTGACAACAGTGTGTATTGAGTTGTTAGGTGGGTTGTTCTGTAAATACAGCTGAGATGCCAATAGTTCATGATATTGTTGAACTCTTCTGTAACTCTGCTGATTTTTCTCTTTAGTTCATCTATCAATTGTTGAGAGGATCCTTGAAGCCTCCAACTTGAAAATTCATCTATTTCTCTTTCAGTCTATCAGTCTTTTTGCATGTTTTGCAGCTCTGTTGTTTGGTATGTACACATTTAGGATTATTATGTTTCTTCTTTCTCCTATAATATTCCACTCTGTCTCTGATGTTACTTTATCTGACTTAATATAGCCACTCCTGCTTTACTTTTATTAATGTTAACATAATTTTTTTATTTTAATTTTCAATCTGCATAGAATTTTTTTGTAGACAATATATAATTGAGTTGTGATTTCTTAAACCCACTCTCCCCAAATCTTTGTTATAATTGGTGTATTTAAGCCATTTACATTTAATGTACTTGTTGATATGTTAGAGCCTTAATGTGGTTTTTTTTTTTGTTGTTTTCTGTTGTTCTTTCTTATTTTCCTTTTGTTTCTTTTTGTTTGTTTGTTTATTTGCTTGTTGTTTTGGTGGTGCTGGATATTGAAACCAGGAACTTATACATGACAAGTGAAAGCTCTGCCACAGAACTACTGTTCTTTCCCCTAACTTCCTGTAAATTACTGGGACATTTCTTCACAATTCCATCTTGATGCATCTACATTGTTTATTAGTGTATCGCTCTATAGCTTTTTTGTTGGTTGCTCAAGATATTATTTATAAATAACTTGGAATATGCTAGTGTCATCATTTTACCAGCTCAAGTGAAGTGTAAAGAACTTACCTCTCTTTACCTTCTTCCCTTTATAACATAATTGTCTTTTATATTTTCTGTACATACACTCATAACCACATCAAAGAGTGTTATAATTTTGGACTTGACCATCAAAGGTAGTTTAGAAAACTCAAGAGTTGAAGGAAAATCTCTATTATTTACACATGTATTTATTTCCTGTGTTATTAATTCTTTCCCAACATTCTTAAGATTCCTTTTAAAAATTGTTTCCTTTGTGTTTAAAGAATTATTTTAGCCTTGTTTTTGGCAACAGATTCTTTTCCTGAAGGTCATTTTCAATGGATATGGGATCCTGTCTTGACAGTTCATTTCTTCTATCACCTGAGAAACATTGTGCAGCTTTCTGTGCTTCATGGTTTCCAATGAGAAATATCTAAATTGTTATTGTTCCTATTGGTAAGGTGTCATTTATCTTTTTAAGATATTTCCCTGTGTTTATTTTTCAATACTTGACTGTAATATTTTTTTGTATAGTTTCTCTAGGTTTATCCTGTTTGGGATTTGTTTGGCTTTTATATTATCTGAGTTTATGTCATTTTGCCAAATAAGGGAACTTTTCAGCCATGTGTCTTTCCTTTTATTGTCTTTCTTTTCCTCCTCCCTCCTCCTCCCTCCTCCTCCCCCTCCTCCTCCTCCTCCTCCTCCTCCTCCTCCTCCTCC